AAGGCTAAGCCGGCGGTAAGCATGACTATTTTCTACACATGAATACTGGTAGGGTCACCCATGAGACAGACAGGCAAACTGAGGGGCCAGATAGTCGTGTCCTACCGACGTCCTATCTCATTCCAATTCTTAACGTACATTCTTTTTCCATCTTTGTCTTCCCCATAACGAGTTTCATATGTTATCGTTCCTTATCTCACATTGGTGACACTTTAACTATCTCGTGCCACAATGCTTCATCTATTCTCTCGGTCTCCTTGGTCAACTCTTGTTTTTTTTCTGAACCCCGAACGTATTAGGTTTCGAGGGTAGGGAGTTCTTTCTTCATGCTTTCCTTCGCTTATTCTTTAGAGTGTAGTAGAAGGTCTGTGATGCGGGTAGCAACCCAGAAGCATTCCCAAGTAATGAAAGGTGCATGATCCAACAGAGAAGGTTGGTCACAAATTGAAGACCTTTGGGAATTATCATCCTAAAGAGTGGGATCAGGGGTAGGAAATATTCATAGTGTTAATTCTTTCCGTGATATTTATAGGAGGAAAATATACTTCATACTTAATCAAAATAAATTTATTCATTATAAACCGAAGTTTTTACACATTCTTTATCAAATTTTGGCGTTTTTTATATTGCCTGTGTGGGTAATATTGCTATATACGAAAAAAATCAACGTTTAAAGTTTCCCGCGTTGGTCCGGAGAAGACGTTTGCAACGTATTGATTCTTTTATTTATAGAAGGTTGGTACGACAAGATCACCGCCATGTTCAGGACAGTTCCTCTCGTTGTTCCACCATGTGGTAGGAGAGAAGCAAGCGGTGGTGCAATAAATGTTTTGTGTTTCTTTTAGTGACTCTGGTTGAATAATAACTCGCCCACCATGAAGCCTATGATTTTGCATGGTCATGAGCGTTCCATTACACAAATTAAATACAATCGAGAAGGTGATCTGCTGTTTTCGTCGTCGAAAGATCATACTCCAAATGTGTGGTATTCATTGAACGGTGAGCGGTTAGGAACATTTGATGGCCACCAGGGAGCTATTTGGTCCATTGATGTCAATTGGGATACGACAAGGTTTATGTCCGGAGCGGCTGACCGCTGCCTAAGATTGTGGGACTGTGCCACTGGAAAGGAAATCGGTAAGATAAATACGGATACATCTGTGCGTACATGTATGTTCAGCTATAGTGCCAATATGGCAGTATATTCTACTGATACCCAGCTGGGACATCGCTGCGAAATGGTAATCATTGATGTAAGAAATGCTGATGACTCCATTGAAAATGCTCCTCCTATTATGAAGATCCCTGTAAGTGACAGCAAAATAACTTCTCTATTATGGGGACCTCTTGATGAAACGGTTGTTACTGGCCATGATAAAGGTGAGATCAATCAGTGGGATATTAGAGTTGGCAAGAAATTAAATACTGTCACTGACCATAAATATGCAATTGCTGATATGCAACTGAATAAGGATGGTACCATGTTTATAACTGCGTCCAAAGATAATACAGCCAAACTTTTTGACATTGAAACTCTTGCATTGTTAAAATGCTACAAAACTGAACGACCTGTGAATAGTGCAGCCATTTCTCCAATTTATGATCATGTAGTACTAGGAGGTGGCCAGGAAGCTATGGACGTGACAACTACATCTACAAGAGTGGGAAAATTTGACTCTCGCTTCTTTCATTTAATATTTGAGGAAGAATTTGGTCGTGTTAAAGGGCATTTTGGGCCAATTAACAGTGTAGCTTTTCATCCTGATGGCAAGAGCTACAGCAGTGGTGGTGAGGACGGATATGTTCGTGTGCATAACTTTGATCCAGCATATTTTGATTTTAATTTTGATTGTCAGTAATTACATATTGGTGGATTGTCTATGGAACAAATATGACCAAAATAAAGATTTATTACTATTCATTGTAATATTGTAATTTGCTTTTAATTTCAACTCCTGAGCACATATCCTTGAAAACTACTGCCATATCTTAAATGGTACCAAAATTTTTTTTGTTCTTGTTTAAATCAATACGAATTACTCGTACTTCGATTGAATGGAGTTGCTTAGGGAAGATTTTTGCTGTTCATGAAATTAAATAATCTTTACAAGTTAGTGAATATACCATTCGTTGGTGTGCATTGTTAATACATAATAAATTTGTTTGGGATTTTATGATATGTGATAGTAAGCTGCTTAGGTTATGCATTTCATTACTAAAAAAAACATTAGTATGCGAGTGCTCAATTCAAAGGAGTTTACATGTGTAATATCTTTAAAGTATGTTGTTTTATCTTCAAGAATGATAGATCTAAAAATGCTGTTTTGTTAATATTTCTATTTACCATTATGTAATATTTGTAAAAAAAATTCTGGGTTTGTGGAGTGTTTGGTAACTGGTAAGTATTGTGGAACGCATGATCATGAAGATAACATCCTTATTTTATCTAGCTTGTAAGTACTCAAGAGAATTTCTTATTCCCTCTGTGTCCATTTTGTTACCTGCTTTTGAACCTGAGTTGTCCTTATAACTGCAGTTGTATTTGAAAGAGTATTCTTAAAGCTGATAAACTTTGACACTTTTGCAAATGTACTTTCAGGATAAAATAATTGTAGAAGCTGAA